CTGGCGCTTATATAGCGCGCCTAAGCGCGCTCATGCGGAGCCGAAGCGCTACCGAGTAGGTATGTAAAAATATATATGAGTGAGAAACTATGATAAAAATAAAGGTGGAACTATGCTAATAAAGGAAATGGAAATATACACACTAGGGAGCTTGGTGGACAGTGGATGGATGCATCTGGATGGCTGGCGCTATAGGGCGCGCAAGCGCGGGAACGCGCGCGCGCGCGTATACATCGTGAAGCGCGGGAATGGTGCGCGCATGGCGCGCGTTGCGCGGGAAAGCTGCGCGTCATATAGGAATCACTGTGGATGGTACACAGAGTGATGCTGCGAGTTGGTGCTGTATACTCCCTAGTGTAAAGCGCCATATCACACTATGAGATGCATGAGTCTCTACACCGGGAGTCATTTGCTCGATGGCCCTTCTCCTTGCATTTGAAGCAAAGGCCTTTATCGAAGCACTTCTGTCGTTCCTCAGGCATGAGGGAACGATCAACGTCCATAGCATCAGGATCGCGTTGGCGGACCTGAGGCTTGGGGCGTACCGATCTGTTGTTGGACACAACTGCTCTTGATCGCTTGTAGTTGGCTTCCAACTGTATCGCGGCAGTGTACCATTTATTGATGGTGGTGGGAACGACCTCCTTCCCGTAGATGGCGGTTCGAAGTCCTGGTTTCAACCCTCGTTCGAAGAAGTGGATGAGGGCGACGTCCTGCTTGAGACTAGCAGTGGACGACAGGGTTTTGAACGTCGCGATGTAGGGCATCACGTCGCCGGTTTGGCTCAAACCATGAAGCTTGGTTAGAGCCTCAGTCATCCGGTCGACCGGGTGGAAGGATTCGGTGAAGGCCTTCTTGAAGTCCTTCCAGCTACCGAAGTCGACGGCAGGTTTGTCGAAGGCTGCTCGGTAGAAGGTGTCAGCCCAGACGCGGGCGTCTCCATCGTTCATGTACTGGAGTGCAACAGCGACCTTGGTTTGGTCGGAGCTGTAGATCGTCGAGTTGATGAGGAAGTATGTCTCCACCAAGTACATCCAGCGCTCGGCATCATCGATGCTTCCATCATAGTTCTGTGGTACTCCAGCCTTTAGTTCAGGCCTGGATACGACCACTGTCGGTTGTTGGGTGGGGCCTCCGGACATTCTTGTTCCAGGGTTCGAGTTGAGGTTGCCGTACGGTTGTTCGTCGGGAAACTCGTCGGAGGACGTGTGGTCTTCTTCCGATTCTTCTTCTTCGGAGTCCGGAGTGTTGGGATCACGTTCCCAAGGGTACTTCGGGATCCAGGTAGTCGTGGTGTCTGTCGGTTAATGGCCGTGCGGATGGCAGGGCGCAGAAAAAGGAAACTTGAATCTTTTGTTACGCACTCAAATAGATCTGTTATGCGGAGCCCTAAGAGGGGCGTCGTCCGCTAATGTTCGTGACGTAACCGGAAGGGTCCGGTGTAGCGACTGAGACTGGCGATGTCGAGTCGGCAGATATCAGAGACGCGCGTGTCACGTGACTTCTAAGACGGATGTCTTCAAAGTCACTGACGTCCTCAAAGTAAGGACAGTCTTGTCCGAACGATGAGGTAGTCGATCGAGGTAGACTTAGGCGCGATGAGCACCTAAGAAAAGATACTAGAGACTGAAGCTGAGGGGGCTTCAGAAGGAAGTATGTTCGAGGGAAGATTGAGTAGATTCAAGTTAGAGAATCTAGTACAGAGTGACCGACTACTTATACTAAGTGGAAAGGGTTAAGGGCAAGGCTACCGTACTGTAGGTAAGGGCAAAGGGGAAACGGAAAGGGTATAGGTACGCTGGTAGCAGAGCCTGATTAGTGATGTAAGGTCGAGTGCGGAATGAGACCAAGAAACGTTGGAACGAGCCAACGGTAAATGATACAATGTGCAGCATGCACGAGTCAAAGGAAAGATAAGACAAGATAAGGAAAGCCACATTGGTGGCACGAGTCAGAACGAGTCATAGCCCGAAGGCACGTGCGCACGTTGGTGCGATAGGAGGGGGGGACGAGGGACGGGAACGGTCCCGAGGATCCGGTCAATGGATAGTCGGTAGAGAAGTACAAGCCGGAGGCATACGAGGGCGAGGACGAAGGGGAAAAATGATAGGGGGGCCATGTAGCCGATGTTACTTGTAACACCAATCAACGTTGATCAGTTTCAATGCCTGTTGAAAAACCACCCTAATCAGCCCTTTGTTCTTTTGGTGTGCCGAGCGCTTCGAGAAGGATTCTGGCCATGGGCCGACGCTTCGGATGAAGCCTACCCTTCCGTTAACGATAACTCTATGCGCACTTGCACGAAGACTGAAGAGCAACAAAGATTCATTGATGAGCAGCTTGAAGAAGAAATAAGACTGGGACGAGTATCTGAAAGCTTCGGAATGGAACTACTTCCTGGAATGTATAGTGTGCCGATGCATACTGTTCCCAAACCTAATTCTGATAAGCTATGTCTCGTCGTGGACCACACTGCTGGTGAATTCTCGCTCAACTCCATGATCGATTCAGACGCCATCAAAGGAACTAAGCTCGATGGTTTACATTCGCTGGGAGCGTCGCTGCTTCAGTTTCGGCAACAGCACCCTCATGAACAACTAGTTCTATTCAAATCGGACGTCTCGCAAGCTTTTCGTAGGTTACCAATGCATCCGCTGTGGCAGACCAAGCAGGTGCTAACGGTACGAGGACAATGCCATGTAGACCGTAATAACAACTTTGGAGGAAGAGGATCCCCCAAAGTTTGGATCTCTTTCATGTCCCTGGTCGCTTGGATCGCTATCCATCATGCGTTAATTGAGGCACTCAAGTTATATATGGACGACTCTTTTTCATTCGAACTCGCGGGGAAAACGTTATACTATGAACCCTATGAATGTTTCTACCCGGAAAAGCAAACTCGACTACTACATCTCTGGGACGAACTTGGTGTCCCTCATGATCATCCAAAGCAAGTCTTTGGTTGTCCTCTGACAGTCATAGGCTTCGAAGTCAACCCTAATGCCATGTCGGCTACCTTACCTTCACACAAGAAAGACGAGCTGGTGATGCACTTGCGTCAATTCGGCGGAAGGAACTTTCGGTGGACACTTCGCGAGTATCAACAACTCGCGGGGTGGTGTGAATGGAGTTTTAACGTCTTTCCATTACTCAAGCCTGGACTCTCAGCTATCTACGAGAAGATACGAGGGAAAGACCAACCACACGCTCGTCTACATGTCAACAATGGCATCATCTTCGAATTGAACTGGATGGCAGATCATATGGAGAAGCTGCCCGGGCTACTATTCTACAAAGCCTTGGACTTTAACCCACTGTCTGAGGATGTGGTAGTAGTCTACACGGACACATCAGGATTAGGAATGGGTCTATGGTTTCCTCATGAGAACTTCGCCGGTCAGTCGCCATTGCCCATTGAAGCTCCCAAAGACACCATCTTCTTCTTCGAGGCCCTCGCAGTGTGTTCAGCCATTCATGCCATACCGAACATGATGGAAAGCCCACCTAGGATGCTCATTTACACCGACAATTCCAACACAGTAGCAATGTTTAACTCACTTCGTGCTCATCCCCCTTATAACTCCATCGTTCTAGCGGCAGTGGACGTCCTGCTGGAGTATCAAGTAGACCTGCGTGTCGAATTCATCCCTGGTTCGGAGAACAGGGTAGCCGACGCACTTTCGCGATTCCAGAACGAACGTGTATTGGAGATAGCTCCTGCTGCGAGCTTCTTCGATTTCGAACCCCCTCGAGACGCGCTGGGGGCAGCGAAAAAATGATGAATGTATCTTCATCGTCCAGGCAACCTCTGAGGGAAGCCTGGACACCTGAGCGCCTCTTGTACGAGCGCTCAGTAGCACTTGGTTTCGCTATTGACTCAACAACAGCATCTGTGTACAACTCGCATCTGAACTCATACATCACCTTCTGTCGACTGCATCACCTGCCAATCAATCCAACGATTGATACACTATCTTTTTACGTGGTTTGGTTATCGCATCACATCGAACCACGCTCCGTCGACTCTTACCTTTCAGGAATCTCGAGTCGACTCGAAGACACGTATCCTGACGTCCGTGCGGCTCGACGTTCATCGCTAGTCGTACGGACACTTCGTGGCTGCAAACGCCGTTTGTCAAAACCGGTACAAAGGAAATTACCTTTGAGTATCGACGACTTGCAGCAGGTCCAAAGGAAGCTCGGTTTAGAGTTAGAGCACGACGATAGTCTGTTCTTAGCTCTGCTTTTCACTGGGTTTCTGACTCTGCAACGACTGGGAGAACTCACTTGGCCTGATGCAGTGAAGCATCAATCTTACAGAAAAGTCCCTCTCCGACACACTCTCTCCATCACGGCAAGAAGCATCTCCTACACGCTACCTTATCAGAAGAACGATGGCTTGGGGACTGGGAGCACCATCCTCTTGTTATCGGATTCCGTTCTCGACAACGACCCACTGCCGGTGTTACGTCGTTACTTCGCATTCAGAGACGGGTCTTTTCCCTCTCGCCCAGCGCTGTGGTTGACAAGCGCTGGTTCGATTCCCACACGCTCTTGGTTTCTTCGGCGTCTGCGCCAATATTGTGGCTCGGCCATGTCGGGTCACTCGATGAGAGCAGGAGGAGCCACTGCACTGGCTATAGCAGGTATGACGCCTGATCTTATTCAAGCTGCAGGGCGGTGGTCATCGGACGAATTCAAAAAATATATATGCCAACATGCATTCTTGCTGAACGCACTGTTACACGGGTCCGCACGGACCACACAAATGACATGAGACATCTCGTGTGTCATTCAGGACAAGGATCTGCTTCTTCAAATAAGAAAACGGCACCAAGACCAGAAAGCAAAAGACAACACCGCATATTAAAAATAAATAAAAAATAGGCCCTTTAGCATGTCCTTCGCGCCTCCGTCGCTCACATCTTCTCTTTCGCGCTTCTCCTTCGCACCTCCGGCTCTCACTTTCATCTTTTCTCCCACCGGAGCTTTTCTATTGCTCACTTGAGCACGTTTTTTTCCTCGAGACCCGCGTCTTCTACACTCTATGCTATCATGTACAGTACTTCGTCTCTCGGTTTCGCAATAAAATTCAACGAGTCCCCCGAGCATGGAGCTGGGGGACTCCGCTTGCCTAATCACCGCGAGACCTTAGCGTAAAAAGTTGATTCAACGTTCGCCTATTATACACCTTCTATCCACGTTCTTATTACATAATATTTTCGTTCTCCGTTTCAACGATCCTCTTGCCATAACTTGAGTCTGGACTTCTGTCGCAGTTGGCGGGAAGATCCTGCAGTTTCGTCAATGATGAACATATGACGTTGATTGGGACAATAGGCACTGGAAGAGTTCTCATACCAAAACCATCCTCAACGAGCCACTTATCATGGACTTCGAGTCTCGACCTATCATGTCACAGAAGTTTCGGCCACTGTCTCCACGTGCATCAAAATTTCTCATGTCTCCGTTCCGCCAGCACCTCCGAGGAAGCCTGTGGATCATTGTGTGTCGAGAAAATACCACCAGCTGTTTGTATACATTGCAATAGTCATGATGTAATTCTCACCTTGCGAGGCAGGAGGTGTGTTCCTGAAACTTGTCGTGTTGTGGATAACGACAGATGCTTCCGCCACTGAATCCGATTTCTGCGCGATGCCAAAGAAGACATTGAAAAAATACTGGAGACGTTAGAGTTTTACCCCCTTTATCACTATCCTTACACATACTGCTCACCAGAACGGCTGGTTTCTCCCTGTGGTGCGGAAGAAATGGGACGATCGCCGCAGCCAGGCACTCGACCACGGCAAGGGAAAGCCTAGAACTTGTCATTCAGTTCTCCATCGATCCACTGGGGATGGTCGTCGCGCTTTGGTTGTCACCGTATTCCTGCCACAGTCCAAACCATGACTTGGGTAGCTTTTATTGCCCTCCCTGCCCCAAGTCAACGCTATATGTGATGTTCCGTGCATCCAAGATTTTTATCATTAGCAAGAGGGCTTCATCAATATGCTCGTACCCAATCAACATTTGTGTATGTCATATATCTACAGTATCAAAAATTTATTTGCATAGGCCAATATCGATTCATACAGGTGCTCCTAATGGTTTCTTCATCTAGCTTCAATTCACCAGGCTGCACCACCGGGTGACCTGGCCATCTATCTGTTCATGTAAGTATCGAGACCGTGACGTTACAGCTGCACTGTGGCATAGATATTCGATAAATCGGCAACATTGACCTTCGTCATCGAGGATGCGTCGCCGTATTTGATCTTTGGTAACAACGGTACAAGCCTACTTTGCTGTATATTTGTGCCCTCGGTGCCAAAGTATCTGAAATTTTAAGCAGAGTGAGTGACGATTCACACAATTGGACTTAGTTGTGACCTTTGACTTTCATAACTCCAGCAATGGTTTGCTCGAGCCCAAGCTGCCATCCCATCCAAATACTCGATGAGACCCGGGGCATCGGTGCAAATTTCCGATGAAGGGACCTGTGCAAGACCGTCCATAAACTGCTTCCCGACTTGAGTATGATAGCGTGCTGCCCAAGCCATCGCACCGCTTCTGTCGAGGCCAAGTTCCAGCATGATAGCGGTAATCAAATTATGGTTTTCGTCCCCAGTTGCTTGCTCTCTGTTGTACGAGGCCATGTCCTATGAAAGTCTTCAGCATGCTGTCAACTACTCCTTGAAGATGACTTTACGTTGTCGACCACAATCAGCTCTACAACACATTGACGCAGTTCCACGATCATAAGGTGGTAGAACACTTCGTCAGGAAACTCCATACTCATTTCATGTATTGTGAGAGAAGCTGCAGCACCAGATGTATCCCGACGGAGCTTGAGATAGTCATCGATACTGCGGCAATGACTATGGTCACGGTCCTCAGCCTCGCCAACTACTGCATGAATGTATGCAGTGTAACTGTCAAGGAAATGACGCTGAAAAGACTGGCTAGCGGTCTGGATTGCACGAGCCCAAAATCTACGCACAGATACCTTGAACATTAGGTATTTCATCAAACAATACAATTTGGAGATACCTACTGTCGCACAATTTCACCCAGGATACATTCACCTTCTGGTCGCATCTTATGAGGATCGTGTAGGGCATCGAGTACAATGTCCATCATTTCCTTGGTGACTGCCGCATTTTCTTTGTCGGTGTACTCGTCAAATATGAAAAATACATTCATCAAATCACAGCCGATTCGAAGGTGGTCTTATAAAGTAAGTGGTCAGTGGTTGATGGTTTACCAGTGCTGAAATGCACACCTCTCGATACATTCGGATAAGCAAGTGCTGCTAGTCGAGCTATAAGCACAAAATGTGTCAGCCATTTTCAGAATGAAAGCTAGATATTGGACCAACCCAAATCACACTTGTCGAATGCCTCCTGTGACTTGGGGTCCAGAGCCCTGAAATCACGGAACGCAGCATCGACTTCCGTTTTCACATCCTCGAAATGAGGATTGATGGCACGAGGCCAGGGCCAGTTGACCATGGTGTCTGGGAGGTAAAACATCATCTTTGCACAAGCATCCATGATATGGTTTCCGAGAATAAGTGCGGGCGTGTACAAGAGGAGAGATATTATTGCTTGTCAATCCAGGACTTGCAGCAGAACTCATATACCCTTCCCTCGGCGCTAATCTTATGCACCATATCTGGCTGATGCATGAATGTGGATGAGATGTTGTAGATACGTAGGTAGAACGAAGTTCGGCGAATACACATTGAACTTTTCCGATCAAATGGAAGTAAAGCGATAAGATAAACCTTGTTGCGCGAAGCACCAAAACCAACGCTGGGCATTTAACATTTAATTTTGAGCTCCCCTAAACATGTCCGTGAATGGCAACGCACCATCATTGGAAACTGTGTAAGTGTGCAGTGGATTTTCAAACCTTTACCGGTGTACCAGCTGTGGGGCGTATAAAAACACTTATCAAAGGGGAACGTTCCAGGACCATAAAGGCCTAGGGCAACTGGATTCGGGATAGGCTGGCTTTGAAACATTGATCATCCCGGATCCTTCATAAGTACTGATGCCTGCTTGGCCCGCTTCTAGCTGGGATCGGATATTGTCCGGTCAGGACGTCCTTGTAAATACAGTTCTAGGACCGCTAATCGGTAACGCTGCTTGGCACGCGGCAATCAATTCCCTTACTCCGACACCAGTGCAAGACTGACACATTGTACAGCCTATCAGCGGGTTGGATTATGCTACAGAATGCTACAAAGCGCTCTGTAGCACTCTGTAGTGAATTACGTTTCCCTGATGTGTTTCGTCTCGAATGATATTCACGATGAGCTTCGAGCAATGCAACCCAAGCGTCAATGGTCCCTGGACAACTGCAGTATTGACGAAGAGAAAAATCCATGCCTTAAGACCGACACTTGGCATATTGCATATATACGATGTAATTGCCCCGAGGATTCTGGAGGAACGACCATGTTTGTAGGGTAAGTGCATAGGAGGAATAAAGATGGATACTGGCGGAGTGGTCCCAGATATACACGACGAGTGCCGCCTATCCAGCGCATGCTGCAACGATGACCCAAAGAGAAATGTCAACTTTTCGGATGCTAAGGTGAGCGAGCCGCATGCCACGCGGAGGGCTGTGTTTCTGGTGGCGTCGCTGGACCTCCATACTTGTCTAGGTCAGACACACGACGCATGCACCAGAAAGTAGTAGTGATCGATTGCGTGTGGTGGACGAGTGCGGTGGTCAGGTCTAAAGGCGAGGAGCCCCACGTCAAGATTTTGGCAGCCCGCATCCCTGACAATGCGATCATCACCTGGAGGAGTGCGACGCACAAAATGAGGAGAGGAAACCCTGTGATGATAACACCATCGTAATCTGCTGGTATCCATACTATAAAGTTCATACGAGGAGTGAGGCCGAGCTGTAGGATACAATGAGGAGGACAGCCGAGACACCGTTGAGCAAGGTGTCGTTCAGGTTGTACCATCCACGAGCTGCAGTCAGAGGGCGCATATTGGTATTGAAACGAAGCCGAGACTCTGAGGCCAGCGCAGAGCGCAATGAGATGTCATGGACGAAGCCTATGGACCCGGTACATAACGTGACGATTAAGTCAAAATGAGCAGCAGCAACCAAAGCCAAGATTCCGCTTCCTCCTGTGCTCAGCCCCAGTGCAGCACTTGAGGTTGTAGGCTCGGATGTGGACGAAGTTGCAGTGCCGTTGGTAGAGGTCAACGTCGCAGAGAGGCGAGCGAACTTCGAAGTACTTGAAGACAGCGTAAGTGGTCGTAGAGATGGACGTAGGTGAAGGTGAAGTACCATTGAAGATGTATCTTTTCTTCTCAGTAACCTTATAGAGTGATTGATCGTGCTTCGCAAGCGAAAGTCAAGGTAATTGGGTGTGGAGACATGAAAAACGACTTCTTTACAATTTTAAGACAGTCTCAGAATATGGATCTCGGTGTATGGAAGGTGAGGCACATCACTGGAAGCAAGGTAGTACCGCAGCGCTCAGATGGTGCTTATATGGGGTCCTACTCGGAGTTTGTGCATAACTATGCCAATTAGAGTCTGTCAATTGCAAGTTATAAGTTATATGTGATGAGAGATTGATCAATATTCTGTCACGTGTCATTGTCTATAGTACAAGTTTAAGGCTACGTAGCACCAGCCTCATGTTGGCGAGCAAAAAAACTATAAAGTTTTCCCAATCAGCTGTTTCGCAGCACGATTAATCCTACAGCAGTAGCGAACAAGGCCAAGATTCCGCTTCCTCCTGTGCTCAGCCCCAGCGCAGCACTTGAAGTTGTAGGCTCGGATGCGGACGAAGTCGCAGTGCCATTGCCAGAGGTCGACGTCCCAGACGAGCCAAGCGAAGTACTTGAAGATAGTATAGTGGTCGTCTGGATGGATGTAGGCACCGACAAGGACGTAGGTGACGATACAGACGTAGGTGAAGGTGAAGTACCGCCATCAGTAGAAGTTCTAGTACTGGAAGAAGTCAAGAGAGTGCGAGACGGGTTTTGACCAGGAAGAGTGAGCTCTTGAAGTGAATAGCCGTAATCAGAGCAAGAGACGTAGAGTCCTAGTGTATGTATTGATCAGGCAATTGGCTCAGATGTGCCATATGAGGCTGAGCTTACCGTCCAAATCACTCTGTGCCTAGTGTATAATCCGTAGCATTCAATGCAGTGCCAACGCATAAGAGGCAGTCGTAGTAGCTTGTTTCAAAGGACTGGGTGCAGCATGTGGTCATAGGACATCCCTGGACAAGCGTTAGCACATCAACAAGGACGAGCCTGTCCGGGATGCGAGCTTACATCATTCACTTCATCATTGACAGGATCGCAGATCGAGGTACACTGTGGAGGAACGGTGCTGCTTTGTCTTTTGTACGACGGACTCGACAGCACCCGGAAAGACCGAGTCAAATAAGACTCAGTGCTTGGATGTGATGAAACAAAGGTAGTAGCCACCGACAAGACTACGAGGCAGGCTGCAGAGGCACGCATCGTTGACTGTCGTTTCAAAGTCGTATGACAAGGGGCTGCTTGTGATGGGGAAGACCATATGAGCCAGGAGCATAGTATATAAGTGCGAATTGGAGGTCAGCGTCAAGTTGCGGTGCATCCGTGATCATACGCATAAGATTCATGCTTGCGGCAAGCATTCTGATTTGCTGGACGTGAACTTATTGTTAAGAAGCCGAAGGTCATGTTTTATGTAATATCACGGACTTTCATATTTTACACAAGAACATAGCGAAACGTTTACCCCGCGGAACCAATGCGCTTCCGACGTGCGCTCCACTCGAATCCTTTTGATCTCCACTTTGGCCCAGGCATGTACTCTACTGGAGCACTGAGTGCTTAGCTTCTTCGACTGATGGTGTTCTTTCAGGTGACTGAGCGCCCCAACAATTTTCTCTTGCACCCTGACTCGGATATCAGTTCAGCCTCATTGTCATGGCGTTCAAGTTGTCTTGCTCTTTTTACGGCATTGTTGGCATTGGCTAGACCTTAATGTGAACGCAATATGTCAGCGGAGAAGAGGTCAGCACGAAATGCGCGTGTGTGAATCACTGCTCTGCACCAACACTCCATCGAGGTGCAAATTATCCGACAATGCGGCGCCTGCGTTCGGCCGATCAGAAGCATACTCAAGTTTTTTTTTCCCTCTCTGTTCAATGACCAACACCTCTGGCAGGCCTTACACATGGTGACCACTCTCAACAGCTCGCGGACAGATTTATCGTGTTGAGTCCAATATCTGACGGGCCTGATTTTTTATCTCTCAAGGTCGAACCACGGGGCCGCAAGCCTTGTTAACACATTGACAACACTCTAGTCAAAGTTTGTGTTTCAAGGAGCGTAGCACGTGACGATTGGTCTGATGATCTTGGACTCTATCACGGGAGAGTCAACAGTGTGCCGGGATAGAGTTCTACCTGTAAGTGCTAGCTATAACAGCCATGGTCACGGTGTCAGCCGCGACACGCGCAGCGGCGCGACCAATGGCTGTGGGTCACGTCGTATGTTGTGACCGTGAGATTTGCATCACACGCAAGTGGGTCGGATGGGTCGGATGGCCCGGATATTACAAGATCGAGATGACCTTGGGTTCGCCGTCCAAACAGCACCTGTAGTTAAGTATCTCTGGGAGTGATAGCCTGTATCATAACTAATCACTACTCCACAATTTTGCTCTCGAGTCGTTTGCCTTTTACTTGTAAACCATGCTAACACTCACCAATGTCGCTTGGCTTGTTCTAGGTCTTACTGGTGTCGGAGTGTATCTGACGATGCGAGCGTTCAACAAAAAGAATCCTGCACCTTATCCCCCTGGTCCCCTGGGGTGGCCTCTCATTGGGAATATCCAAGCCATCCCTCACATCAAGCCCTGGTTCACTTTTACGGAGTGGGGCAAGAAGTATGGTTGGTGCCTCTTTTTTTCTCCAAAAAATCATGTTTTTCAACCCCATGCGTGCAGGGGACATCGCGCATGTCGAGATTCTGGGTCAGCACATCATGGTGGTGAACTCTACCAGGACTGCAATAGAGATGCTGGACAAGAAGAGTAATGTGTACTCCGACCGCCCTGTCCGTCCCATGGCTGGCGAACTCTGTGGCTGGAAGCAGGCTTTACCTCTTCTCCCTTACGGTGACCGTTTTCGTCAGTACCGCAAGAACTTACACCACATCATTGGCAGCCGTGCCGCTTTGAAGATCTACCACCCGATCGAAGAGATTGAGACTCGCCGATTCCTTAAGCGTGTGTTTTTGAAACCTGACCAACTACGAGAACATATCCGACAGTTGGTATTATTTATCTTTGTATTGGGGTGATGTTGAATCTTTATAGGACCGCCGGCACCATCATTCTGCGCATCGCTTATGGTTACGAAGTGAAAGAGAACAATGATCCCTTCATTGACCTTGCAGAGCGTGCTGTGCACCAATTCTCGCGTTCGAGCACTCTTGGTGCCTTCATGGTTGATGATATGCCATTCTGTAAGCAATAGCATCTAATATTTGCCTCTGATCACCTTATCGTTTTTAGTGGCAAATGTCCCCGAATGGTTCCCCGGTGCTAGCTTCAAGCGCAAAGCGCGTGAGTGGTGTGAGACCCTCAATGAAATGGCTTCTGCACCCTACGAGTTTGTCAAGGATCAAATGGTGACTAATTCATAGTTATGCGCTCGTACGTTGAATTTTCAATTTTACAGGCGGCTGGCATCGCGCCGAAGTCTTTTACCTCCGATCTGTTGCAAGGTCGTATTTTATCTGCGGAAGAGGAATCACATTGTGAAGTGGTCTGCTTTATCCTTATACAGCGGTGGTGCCGACACGGTAGGTCCTTCCATACATATCTTAAATTGACATGCTTAAGAGCAATACTAGAGTGTTTCCTCGATTTACGCGATTTTTCTAGCTATGACACTTTTCCCTGATGTGCAGAAGAAAGCTCAGGACGAAATAGACGCTGTTGTTGGATCCGATCGTCTTCCATCCTTCGCCGATCGCGACTCCCTCCCCTACATCGAGGCGCTCACAAAAGAAATTCAACGCTGGAATGTTGTCAGCGCTGCTGGTACGCACATATCGTTTAACGTATTCTTTACTCACTGGGCGGTATCTCAACGGCAGGTTTCTCCCACCGTGTGACCGAGGACAACATCTATAACGGGTACTATATTCCAAAAGGTTCCCTCATTCTTGCTAACCTTTGGTTAGTGACCTTGTTTCTCCGTATTCGATATACTAACATAATTTAATGACAGGTTCATGCTCAACGACCCACTGAGATATCCCAACCCATCGCAATTCAGCCCTGAACGCTTCTTGGCCAATGATGGAAAGAAGCCTGAGACAGACCCTTACACAATTTGCTTCGGCTTTGGAAGACGGTAAGTACATGATTAGTTTTGAGTAGAATGCTATGTAACTCTCTACCTTGCAGTATCTGTCCAGGTATGCCCAATTCATAGAAGCGCCGGGGTGAACTATGACGTTACTTGCTTAGGTGTCCACCTCGCTGACGCCTCAGTTTGGTTATCCGCCGCGATGTCATTGGCCGTGTTTGATATCTCCAAGGTCGTCGAGAACGACGTTGAGATCACGCCTGAGATCGATCCCTCATCAGGTACAATCAGGTATGTTGTGCATCTTATCAAGTCCACCGCAGGTCTAAATAGATACACTTGTAGCCACCCCAAACCTTTCAAGTGTTCTATCAAGCCTCGCTCTGCGAAAGCCGTGGCGCTCATTCAGCAGGATGTTGACTATTAAGCGTGCGAAGATGACATCCCACAATAAGGTGGTCACTGTTTCTTCACAGCTGACGGCGGGATCTGTCATAGTTTGCACTTAAAATCACAGGATATGGTGTCACATCGCTATATTGTACATGTGTCATCGTGCTCCACTTTTTTTTACAATGCATGCTCTGGTATCAAAAACGTTCGCGATCTTCCTGACAATCAGCCTGTATAGCACTGCTTACTCAGTGGTCAGGAGCATATTCAGGTATTTAGGCTCTCTGTTCAACGTAACGGACTGACATCTGGCAGGTATTGATAGCGACTACTCTCAATTACTTCCCAAATAACTCGTGGATAGACTTCTCGTGCTGAGTCCCAGCCATGAACGTTGGAGGGCGCACGGATCTAGCACGTACTCGCCTGATGACTGGGACTTTGTTTCGACTGAAGGTCTCTTTCTATGGATGATCTGACAGAGCGAATGAGTGAAAATCGGCTTCAGCGAGTTCGTCGCTATTCCAAGTCCTTTCCTTCTGGTAGCGCATCTCCACTGTCTTTCGTCTCGACACGAGCTCTAAGCAATGCAACCCAGGCATCAACGGTCCCTGGATGACTGTAGTGTTGACGAAGAACAGAATTCACACCTGGATATTGACACCTGGGATATAATATGCGATGGCGTTGGACTGCACGCTCCGGAAGAACGACCACATTTTGAGGGTCAGCGGAGAGGGGGAAAAATCTTAAGCGCCGTGGAAGTGGTCCCAGATATACATGACGAGTGCAGCCCATCCAGGACATGCTGCAACGATGAGTCAAAAAGGAATGTCAACTTTCTGCATGCTAAGGGAGCATGCCATGCAGAGGGCTGTGTCTCTGGTGGCTTCAGTGGACCTCCATATGTGTCTAGGTCAGACACGACGCATGCACCGGAAAGTAACAAGGATCAATTGCGTGTGGTAGACCAGTACGTCGGTCAAATCGAAAGGCGAGGAGTTCCACGTCAAGATTTTGACAGCTCGCATCCCCGACGATGTGATCATCACCTGGAGGATCTCCGCCAGTTCCGATGCGAGTTCGGAATTTTTGCTTCTTTTTTTGCGGAAGGGGAGCAGCGGGTGAGCTTGAACCCAGAGAGAGAAACCTGGCCATCCACAGGTAAAGCCGTAGCCAAAACATGAAGTTCCGGAGGCTGAGATATAGACTTGAGCCCTCCTTCTGCTTTAGTAGCACGCGATGGACCTTTGGATGAAGAGGCTTTCGTCGTCGGCCCTCACAAGGTTTTTTGCGGAAGCGACTCTCCGGCAGCAGCAGCACGACGACGACGACCTCGCAGTTGCTCACCTCCCCGCTGCAACCGCGTGTTTGCTGTTGGTGTTATCGTATAGTCAAGGTCATCATCCACGTTGCCCTCGATCTCAACCAGCCTTCCACTTCTTGATTGCTGCATCGTACCATACCCTCGTTCACCTCCCGACATGGAAACGTGTACGGGGGTGATACGGACCGGTGGTCCAGCCAAATGAATGAGAAGCCTTACAGGATTGCTGTCTTGGACCCTCAGGCCTGTTGCTTGGCATTGCGCCTTCTCCAGGACTCTCTCTCTGGCTCGAGCTTAGGTTTGTTCCCTCATAAAAGCGTTCCTTCAGGTCATCTCCAAGTCCAAGTATCATCCCACTGTGCTGCGAACACCAGCCGATTAACTGACAGTATTTCGAATTGTATTGTCATTCCTGTTTTATGAGATAGAGTACACACTAATATTAGTTCGCATGACAATCATTTACTGTACATGAATCGACGTATCACACTACCGCCTCAGACCTGCATAAATGACAGTGATTAGCATGCGGAACAACTTGGTCACAATAATAAACAGAAGTCGGTCAAAATAACTATAACT